TTGCACTAGGGAAATGGCAACCGCATCCCAATTTCACCAGATGAAGCCTGGCAATTTTGCTGAAATATGCACCGTTTTCCGGCCTAACGTTCCTGTGTCGCGACCGACGCCCGGACAAGAACCTAAATATCAGTATTGTGGTCAGTATTGTGGAAAGCTGCCCAGCTTGGGAAAAGACATGTGTGATGTGTTCGAAAAAAACCATTTTGCTCAATCTTGTCGCTCAAGTCGACTCTGACGATTCCTCGGTTGCTCCAGAGCTCTCAATTAACAACGTGAAACGTCTGGTCGACAGAAGTGTCCATGCGACGCTGATTGCCAAAGAGAATCCTGTGCGTTTCCAGTTAGGCACAGGAGTCACGGTTAACATTTGCCGGAGAAATACTACCCTGTTGTTGCGGTGTGGCAAGGAAAAACAATGCCTAGATATGTAATGGTTCAAAATGTCAGCCCAAAGGTATCGTGGTATTGAAAGTCACAAATCCGAAGGACAGAACTGGCCATCACATCGAGTTTGTCGTGGTACTTGGGTATCTCGTGCCCATCATGGGTTTTGAATCCATTCAGTAGTTCGGTTTTGTTTCTTTCAACTATGAACGCTTTGTGGATTCGTGTCATTTAGTCACAGGTATCTTGGATCGCTCTCCTAGCGTTTTTGATGAAGCAGTGGGGAGATTCGATGGGTTTGCACATCTCTCGTTAAACGAATCCGCCATGCCAGTAGTTCTACTGGCTAGGAAGGTGCCTATAGCTTCGCGCGTAAACTTTTCTCACGAACTGGAGCGTCTAACTGCACTCGAGTTAATAACTAAAGTGGACAAACCGACAGTTTGGATCAGCCAAGTAGCTATTGTCACTAAGAAGTCCGGTGATTTACGAGTATGAATTGGTCCCAAGCCGCTTAACGCCGCCTTTCGAAGAGAACACTACAGCCTACCGACGGTGCACGATCTACTGCCAGTATTACCAAAAGCCAGTTTTTTCACGAAACTCGGTCTGGCTTCCGCATTTTGGCATATCTTGTCGGATGCCGAATCCAGCTATCTGACAACGTTCGGTACATCGTTTGGGCGATTCCGATGGCTGCGTCTACCGTTTGGATTAAAGGTATCGAGCGAGATATTCCAGTAACCTCTGTTACGAGCGCTGGAGGGTTTGCTAGGAACCATTTGCGTAGCGGCCGATATGCTCCTTTTTGGCTCTACAGCAGACGAACACGACCGTAATCTGAATCTGTTTCTTCAACAGTGCGATGACAAAAACATCAAACTTAAATACAACAAAGTCGAGTCGCGCAAATCGGAAGTGGTATTTCATGACCACCTTTTAAGCTGTCAGAGTGTGAAGCCAGATCCGGAAAAGATAAGGGCCATCATAGAAATGCCACTACCCGCCGATCCTAAAGGAGTCAGCCGATTGATTTGAATTGTTAACTACCTAAGCCGTTCTCTACCGAGACTGGCCGAAGCGGTGACACTTATACTGAAACTGACGCACAAAGGTGAGACCTGGTACTGGGGCAGTGACCAGGAGAAAGCTTTCAACCAAATAAAGAGCCTAATCGCAATGGCCACAAAACTTACCTATTTAAATCCATCGCTGCCTCTCGAAATACAATGTGATAGCAGTCAGCACGGCGTCGGGGCGGTGCTAATGCCAAGTGGGAAGCCGTTAGATTTTCGCAGTAGAACTCTGACACCAGCCGAGTGCCGCTACTCACAAATTGAAAAGGAAATGCTTACCATTACGTACGCAGTCGAACTTTTCAACGACCACACCTTCGGACGGAAGACCATCGTGCTCACTGACCACCAACCCTTGGTGTCAATTGCCAAAAGGCCACTCCATGTGGTGCCGTGCCACCTTTAGATAATTCTCATTCGGCTCCACAAATAACATTTGGAGATCGTCTGTTGTTTCCGATCTCAGATGTACATCGCGGATGCGCTATCCAGAGCCCATCTTCCGGATGCAGATGGAACATATGAGAATCTAGGCACGGTCCACGCCACACATCTCGCCTTCGCCGGAGAATGATTACAATTATTCCGGCGGTGCATAGAGGAGGGTCTAGTTTGTAATAGTCTGCAGCGGGCAATCGTAAACGGATGGCCAAAAGATAAAAAGATTTTCCGTCGGAGATGACACCGTTTTTCCATTTTCCTGACGCGCTCACCGTGTAAGATTGCTTGATATTCTAGGGCAACCAGATGTTAGTCCCGACGGCATTGCAATGCGATTTGCTAGAAATGGTTCACAGTGCACATTTGGACATTAACCAATGCGTCGCACGCGCGAAGGAGCTAATGTTTTGGCCCCGAATGACCAGTCATGTTCGCGACTATGTGTCGAGCTGCGCAACGTGTCGGGCCTATGATGTTCGCCAAACGAAGGAGCCACTGGCTCTTCGAGAGATACCAGACGGGCCATGGGAAAAGTGGCACTGGACTTATCACACATGACTGTAAAGACTACTTAATTACCGTAGATTATTACAGCGATTATTTCTGGTTGATACTCTACCCACAAGCAATGCTCAGACTTTGGTGAACAAGCTGCGCTGTCATTTCACTCGACACGGAATACCAAACGAAATAGTCTCGGATAATGGGCTACAGTTTACTGCAGAGGAATTCCGAGCTTTTAGCAGGAAATGGGAATTCGAACACCGTTGTACTAGCCCGTACCACAGTCAGTCCAACGACAAAGCGGAGGCAGCAGTAAAGGATGCCAAGACATTCCTAACCAAAGCGAAAGAGCTACATGTAGATCCTTACATCATGCTTCTGGAGCGAAGAAACATTCCGGAAATTTGGGCGAGCTCTGTTCAAAGATTGTTTGACCGCAGAACGAGAACTTTGCTAGCCAGGGTCACGATTGTGCTCCAACCGGAACCGCCATTATCGGCTATGATGCATGGTCGTCTAAAAAACGGATGCTCCGTCAAAAACGCTATTATGATTGCGGATCAAAAGAGTTACTACCACTCCGGATTGGTGAGGATATGTGGATACAGGTGGCTCCTGGAATTGAGAAACGGTGAAGGCGAGGAGTCGTTAAAACTCGCACAGAAGAGAGAAGCTGTGAAATCTGTGTGTGCAATGGTCTGTATCGCCGAAACCGAATTCATCTGAAGCGGCATTTGACAAGCAGCGAGTGGGCGAGCGAGCGACATGACCGACCAGATGGTACAGATACTGAGGAATGACAGGATGATGCGCAGCGGCAGAGTATACAGCACTTCAATGACCGACAAACCAGAACCGAAAAGGAGAAGGGTGTGACAAGGGGTGAAATCTGTCACCCGTTTTACTGGCGCCGTGAGAACTGACCAAACGGAAACTTGGCGCAAAGCCAAACATGAGGACACCCAAACGACTGAGCTGTCCAAAAACCGGACCGTGGGCGGAGTGGACAGCGTGAACGCCTCAGCCAGGACCATTCAGCCTGCGTGGGCGGCTCATCCAGAAGTGTGCGATGCAAAGATGGATGCCACAACCCAAAGCCAATGTTACCTAATAAATAAATAGTTCATTTTTATGACGAAAATAGTGACTTGATCGTTGGGCAGTCTGACTTTTGCCTTTTGAGCGCGAAATTTAACACCCGAAAATCAAGAAAAGTCTTCTTACTTTATTTGGTTTGTTCAATTTTGTTATTCTGCCTCATATTCTATGTCAATTTTGCGTGCTTGCTTTCCCTTAAACTAGATGTTGATTGTTTGGTATCCCCGGTGTGGCTGCGCCTGATGTGAATCTTAACAAGATGCCTACCTGTCCAACACCCTACACATCGATTACTGGCTCCAGGAGATTGCGAATCGTTGCTGGGGGACGGGATGCACTGTCCTTGTGGCCGTGTTAGGCTCAAAGTGTGATTCCATCCAGCGTGGAGCGGAGTACGGCCCAACCACCGCCTTGTGTACGTCTGGTACGCATGATTCCTTACCTAGATAGACAGGAATACTGCTGCTGTACATGTTAAAGTGTGGGCCGGCTCCCTTAAAGAAACGTGGCTCCCATCCACATGCTTCGCTCTTATTCCTTCGGGTTTACACTGGATATGGGGTGTATGGGTGTTGCAGCGCAAACCACTTATGGTCCCTCTGTAAGCGCAGGGGTTTTCTGGCTGTCCTGTGGAGGCCGCAGTGACAAGCAAATCCGGAACCGGATGCCCCCAACTATATGCCATCTTTACTTTAAATTAGACGCTTTGCAAACCACTGGCGTGTTTGATCATGACGCTTTCAGACCGTTTTTTGCCATTCCGTCATTTCATGGACTGCCTATTTGGGATTTGTGCCCATCCAAACCCACTGTTTTATGCAATATGTATGTCGAGTGAGCTTGATTGCTTTCATGCCCTTATCATATGCGAATGATACGACCTAGCCAACGTGGGTGACCCCGGTTTATCCGACGCTGCACTACGACTCCTGATGATCGTTTAGCAAATACGTACTGACTTCACAACCAGACATGTACAATGCCTCACAGACAACGGTGGCTAAGCACATTGTCTCCATAACCAGGACACTCAGTGATCATCCCTGCATTTATGTTGATTGCATTCGGGTGTTGTGGACCCTGCTCTTGACCGATAAGCCTAACTTCTACTGTCATCGCATGTGGCTAAAGTTTACCAGTGCGTACAGTTGCCTAAGTGAGGCGACAACCGGAGATGATGCACCTACCTTGACAAGTAAACTTATCGGCCACTTTGGGCAGTTGTCCAAAGATTCTGAAGGCCTATATTTTCAGCGCCCAGTATTGGTAAAATGCTCTGTGCATAGTAGGTGCAAGTACCTAGCGAAGCATGCATCACTAGGCTATCATGTGTTCAGCTGCGTTCAGGTCACAACTGTGTCCCCCCAGAGAGAGGTGTGACTCTTGCGTGTCTTTTTCAAACCCGGCTTTGCATTTTTGCATTGTTACTAATACTGTCTGAGCGATTCCATGTTCATTTGTTCATGGGTTTATCATATGCGGGTATGCTTTACAGAATACGTCACTGACGCTGATCAATGCAGTGTCCTGACTTCCTACTATTTATCAGCCTTTGTGTTTTGATCTCAAACATTGACTCGGTGTCATGCATCAACCGAAAGAACCTAGTGTCTGAAATGAAATATGATATACAGTTGAAATTGGACCCCATTGACGCAGGTTCTGAGGTAGATTCACTTTTCGCTCATCTTGATCCGTTCTTCCGTCAATGATTTAGAGTACAGTTGAGATGTACTCGAAATACGGCCAAAGATTTATCTGTGTTCTCCCATCCGAGTCACGAAATACGAACACCGTCACTCCACCACCTGTAGATAACACATTAGTGTCAAACATGTTATCGCTATTGAACGGATCTAAGTGCCTCATCTACGTACGTGTTTGAATGGCTTACTTAATTTTTTTGGTAGAGGCACAGCTGGTGGACATACGAATTGTGCTACGGACGTTATGTGCTCCAGTATCATGCGGAAGAACAAGAGCGGAGTTCTGAGACGCTTCTGGGGCTTTACGACTCCGAAACCAACTGGACAGAACCTCGCAATGAAGTGAGTCAGGCAATAATTTTTTCATCCATTTCTTTCAGACCGATGATGAACAACTGTATCACTCCCAATTCTATGTGAATGGGAGCTATTGTGAACTCACGCTCAGTCGCAGGAAAGTCGAAGTGCGTTATGTGTGTGAGACTGGCAACTCATTCCTAATCATCCGCGTCGAGGAGCCCGAAACCTGTGTGTACCGAATATACGTGGCGGCACCCACTTTATGCTCGCACCCATCATTCGTAGTCACTCGTATTCCCCGAATAGAGTCAATCAAATGCTCACCGGAAGTTGCAAACGCCTCTGTCACTGAAGGCATGTTCAATCATGGCAACATGTCGCTTCATCACTTTTTAGTTTTCATGTTTGCTGTCGCATTGTTTTCTCCCAGGGAACCTGTTTCCGAGGTCTTGACTGTCGTGTGGGCGCTTAAATTCATTGCTCCTCTGACTTTAGTTGTATCACGGGAGAATGGAATCATCCCGTTCTCGTTACTGCCCTCAAATTTGTCTCCCTTAAACTTAGTAATAGCACCGCAAGCACCATTCGTACTCTTCTGAGTATTCCGCTCGATTTGAAATCCTTCATGTACATTTTGTGGCCGCATGTTTCGCAGCCGTGAAACTCGATCCGTTCAATAACGGGGTCACCTCTTAATCGTAATAGTCGCGGTGCATTTACTTGTTAGATGGCCAAACTAAACTCCGATCGACCACTTGCATATGTATATCGGCTTCCGATGCTGAGTAATGTTGAATTAATCAATGACCTTAGTCAGACAGGCTATGTTGGCTCCGGCATCTTTGAGTAGTCACCTTTTACCAAAGAGTTTTACATCTGTGTTTTGCTTTTTGGATAGTCGGCCGGTGGCCGAGTAGTCTGCACACCTGGTTTGCAACCATAAGGTTACCGGTTCGAATCCGCGTAGAGTGGGCATCCTCGCGGTATACTCAGCCCTCGCCCGACTGGTGGTTGTCGCGTGGCAGCGAAGCACCGTTACGGCGTATAGCTGGCGATTTATTTTTTCACAGTGTTCACTTCAGTCTAGTTGAACAACTGTGATCAAAGCACCGAAGCGCGGTTGGTCCAGTTGTCACTATTCACGTTGTCATAAGGACAGGACAGAATCTAGGGAGGAAATAAGCTTTCGCTTAACGAGCATCCATTTCGTGTGCCAGTAAGCGAAACAGAGCTCTAAGCACTTCGACTTGATAATAAGTTCTTGCATAAGCTACCAGCACGCGGCTAGCGGCTTCCATGAACTCTCACAGCAATTTCGGGAACAAGGCCAATCAACAAAAAGGATAAGAGATTAAACATTACGGATTACGAAAACCAAAAAAGCAACAACGCTAAAATCACTGGATGCATTGGATTGAGGTCGTTGTTTTAGGGGGAAGCCAAAGCGTAAGGAGCAAGAGGCTCACAACAAAAACGCCGTTGGAGTCGGCTCCTCACCATGTCAGTTAGTGTATCCAACCAAACGTGTTCATCGTCTTTGGAACTCCAGCCCGGCAGTCGGGATGCACCAACCGACGCCAAGTTCGAACTGATGGATTTCATTCTTCTAGACCACGTCATTGCTTGGCCTCCCCTCGCTTATTCCATCGAGACTCCGGGGCGCAAACAACGTACATTGCTGGTGTCGGTGTGTTGGCCTGTCCAACACGTGGCCCAGTCATCGGAGTCTGGTACGTGATATAGTAGTGCTGAGCGGTTCACTCTCTCTTCCTGCACGAAACACGCCACGCCAAACAAGTATGACCTCTTCATTACTCTGAGTCAAGATTTGTCATTTGCTGTCATTCAAGAGTAAATCCCATGTTCGTGACCACTTAATAATCTTTAGAGCGTAACCCTTTATCCCTTGTTAACATGCTTGAAACCATTAACAAAGATATAAGTGGGTTCCTCAATGAAAGGGTCCTAGTCATCTGTAAACATAAGCATTAGCAACGGACTGGGCACTGAACCCTGGGAAACTCCGCTGTGAGTAGTACCTGTGCTCTGGGTACCATCACCAATCATAACACAAAATGTATTGCCTTAAAGAAACGCGAACAGCCCTTTTGGCTGAGGGTGGAGTCCAAACCTTTTCTAGCAGGAAGTGGTGATTCACCGAAACAAAACTTTACTGAAGTCAAGTTAACACATTTCTACTGGTATCCCTAAACCAAGACATCGAGTTATTTCAAAGAAACAGCAGGTTGATAAGGCATTACTTTTTATTGACGAAACCATGTTGTTCCGTTTCGATCAAATTGCAGACGGTCAGATATTCACAGATTCGATCTTTACTAAGCTGTTCCAGACATTTAAGGAGTGCGCTAGTCTGACTTAAGGGCCCATAATTATTGTCCGATGATTTAGGACCTCCTTTATGGATTGCAACCACAACTGCTTCTTTCCCATCCTGCGTTATCCTTCCCTCCCGAACTAACATGCTGTACAGTCCAAAACAGGAAGCTGCATAATATCGGAAATTGGCTTAACAATAGCTAGATGCACGTTAACGATCAGGGGATTTGTATGGGTTTAGGTCCATTAGGACGGAGGTAACGGTGTGTAGCTTTAAGGATCACAAACCTGCTTTCTAATCCGAGGGCGCTGGTTCGAGCCTGCGTAGGGACCGAGCGACCATCGCAATATCCTGAGCCAACGTGCGATTGGTCATGGTTTCACGGCAGAGAAGCATCGGTACGGCGTACTGATGATGCCTGTTGTTTAGCATCCGATGCGGTTAAAGCGATTTCCCCATTTCCCTTGCTTACGCAATGAAACTGCGAAAGGATTGAATACCCGATGTCTGCTCAATGCACTTTCTGGAAAACACGCAGAAACTCATGCGCCTTTTCCAGGTCCTCCGTACCCGGAAGTCCATCTTCGGCAATTAACTTGTCAACGACTTCCTATATGGAAGACTTCGACTGCACGTGGCCCTAGTAGTGTTTTGGATTCGTCTTTGCGCTATGTGCCAGCCAACTCATGTGAGTATTTGGTCTGTCTCTGTAAACTGGGTGGCCAGGTTTCAACATTTTTGGTAGCTCAACAACCTAAAGAATCCACCGGACTCATGCAACCTTTTCCATTGCGCGTTTCGTCGTTTTATGGGTGCCACCGGCGACGCTTCTTCGAATGGCACCTTCTGCGCGGGGGAGCAAAGTCCTCTAGCAACTGAGTGAGACCGCTTTTGAGCACTTGTCACCTTTGCTCCAGAGTTATCTCCTCCGGTTCAGAAACCAAATTAATTCTCTTAATTCTATCCTTCAAAATCATGGTACTAACCCAGCTTAGTTACCGTGTCAGACTGGGCTTTACCGATACCTTCAGTAACTTAATGAAGTAGGGAAGAACGAAGTGATCGCTCTTACCTATGGGAGCCTCCACGGTAATGATTAACAACCGATCGTGTTTGGTGATCACATCTAAGGAAGTAGGAACGTTCCCATCACGTCTTTCAGTTGAAAAGTTAACGTGCTGCACAAAGACGTGTTCTTACACCCACTACAAGAAGTCCTCCAAGGAGTCTACCTGATCTAAGTCTGCTTACTCGTACAACAGATCTTATGTTCATCATCATACACGTTAGCTAGAGGTGGGGAACACCTCAGCTACCGTGCCGCAATACACAGAAAAAAGGAGAAAAAATGAAACTGGTGCAAGCCAGCTTATGTTAGCTTTGCTTATATGGTTATAGTGAAGTGATTTTGGTGCTTAATACGAGCATATCAGGAACCGTCTGATATTGACCATTTGTTTGACTATCCAATTGACCCTATCGTTCGAGAGGGGAATCACGATACATCAGGTTCTTAAAATCCACCAAAATCGGTCTTCCACGACCCTTCTAGTACCCTTCTAGTTCTTCCAGTAGCCAACTCGATGGATCCTTTTGATGTCAACGAGAGGCAATATACCAACAATACGGAATATCTCGTGAACACACCTATCCATGTGAGGCCTAACCTTAGTTTACGTATCCCAAGTTCTTCCCGATTGTAGCTAAGCACATTCCGTTGCCTGTCCATAGCAATCTTTTTTATTATCTACATACTGCTCGGAATGTGAGTGTAACGCATCAACTTTTGCTTGTAACATGTTGATAATGTATTCCTGTCCCCGAATCAGCTTTTCTGCCATGTTGAGCCACTTCAGGTGGTTCTTATCAGAAACAGTTTGTTCATCAGTGACATGACGAGACCGAAACAGAAGTTCCCCATCCAACGATCAGGTGTCCGCCAGGCACACCCAATGAAAGCACATCCAATTCAAGTTGCGATGAAGTGAATATAATGCAATCGACTCTTCGTCCCGTCGCAAACATACGTTGTGATACCATAACAGGTACCTATCACACTGAATACCTTTATCCATTACGCCTCCGCAGCTATGCTCTCCACAATAATATGTGTCCGGTGATTCCATGACTAATTCAGAGAATCCGGAAACATACGGGTGTATTTGTGCTGTTATTTAAACACAGAAGAATACCAAGACATAAACACAAAAAATGTGCAGTACTATATGGTAAAGACAACAAAGGACACTAGTTAACCGATGACAGTGGAATGAACTCACAGGTGTGGCAATGTGGCCAGTAGCAGCCACTCAAGGCAAAGCGTCGGGATACAACTCACGAAGCTAACTGTAAGATTGAAGACTGATGATAGATTATGGTGTTATACACCCGGTCCTGGACACAGAACAAAAAATCCGTATACCAGAAGTTCCGCTTTATCTTGGGAGCAAAACCCTTGTCGGATAGCACGAAAATAGAGAATGTTTGCACAGTTTTGTTCGAAAAACTGCTTCCAATCTAGGTTTATGCGAAAAAAGCTTGCAAGCCGAAACATGACAAGCACACAGCGATCTTGAAAATGAAGTTGAACGCAAATAGAACCAAAATCGAATCATATGTGAGTACGCAAAAATAGCCAGAATGGGATGAAAATTAAGAGCTAGCTACAAGAGACCAGATGCAGAGACGCCACTAACTATGCGGCTGCATGTCTGATAGTTTCCAACCACTGGTGTGGGCCATGAGGGGACAAACATCCACGAGCATGACACGGATCAGTCTGACCAAGTCTCGCAGTCAATCTCTTCATATCTTTATGCCACGTCATCGACTGTTCACCTCGCGGTCTCGCCCATCTTTGTTCAGCGACCGCGTATAATGCCCACCGAGGAAGCCGATCGAGGCATGCGGAAGACATGACCCGGCCAACATAAGCGGTTCGAGTTCAACAGCTGGCGGATCTCGGCATTGTTCACCCTGTTTCTACCAGAAATGAGCACTACTTCATAAGCACCGG